CCACAGACTCCTGGGAAAACCTGGGAATTATGTCATAAGAGGAAGAACTTTTGTGCATGAAATGGAATTGAGGGGAGAATTATATATAGTTTTCACAATGGAACAAGTGGTGACTTCCCCCTTCTCTCCCACATACAACCCTACGCTCCCATGTCATGTATTTTATTCATCAATGATGTCAGTCAGGAGATGAGCACTGACGTTGCCAAGTTAGCAGAAGACACTGAATTATTCAAGATGGTGAAAATACAATTGACTGTAACAAGAGTCAAAGCAACCTCTTCAAACTAGATTAGGAAAACAGAGTTCTTAGCCACATTTACAGATAGCCTGAGTCTAAGTTGTAATGATTCATCAGGAAAGAGATATTTTGGTTGTGGTGGGTAGCTCAAAAAAAAAAAGAAAAAAACCCCCCACATCATCTCAGCATGCAGTCCTAGAAATGAAAAAGGCAAACTCTGTGTTTGGGATGGTCTGGAAATAGGTTAAAAATAGAACAGACACTGTCTTAATGCTTTTATATAACTCAATGGTGAGAGTGCAACTGAAATATTGCATAAAGCTCTGATAGTTCCATTCCAAAGAACAGGATGTTCAGGCTGAAAAGTCAAAAGAATTGCAAATGTGGAAACATCACTGAGAACTTACAATATCTGACCAAAAAAAAAAAAACCTTATAAAAGCCAAAATAAAAGAATCCACATTAGTTTCTCGAACTCCTGAACAAATTGGGATAGAAAATTAACAAATACTGTATAAATTACAAGGCATAGAGTTAACTTTCTTTCAAGTGGCCTCCCCTAAGGGAGGAATATGGCATAAAGGCTGGTTAGCATACAGCTGGAGCAGACTTGTTTGAGATCCAGTTATCTAGCAATAGGCAGCCAACTCAATCTAATTATGATACTGCACATAATCTGGCTCAAATTACTTCTCTCCTTGGCAATCCCTTATTTATGTTTTTACTGAGACCTGAAATTAGCACAGTGCTGTTGCTGGCAATGCCCTATCAAGTGACAGTTTTGTACTACAACAGGGCCACACTAAATCTGATGTACACCATGACCAGTTAGCTCTACAGCAGATATTTTAGTAGCAGAAGGGCTTTAGTGTAAAGGTGTAAATCAGGCCAGAAAGTTATTGTTCATTTTTAGTCTAATGCATTTCCACCTAAAATGGTACATGCGTACTCTCTTGTTCTTGGAGCACATTCTCTCCATGTACTCTCCATGTGAACACAAGATTGTAAATATTCTATTAGCTTCTACCTATAGGACTGTGAAAGCTGCTAATACAGTATGGGGAACCTCTGGCCTGAAACTGACTTCACTAAAATAGGCAGATTTGGGAGAATTTGAGGGGTTTGTTTCTCCCAACTGAAAAATGGAAGAAAATATTGCTTCCATAAATACAAGGCATGTATGTATGTATGTATGCTTTAGGGACGATGTGCAATCTATAGGCTACAGAATTCCCTGTCTTTGTTTTAGGCCAACAACTCTGGAGGGCATCAAATTTAGAAAATTTGGTTAATATACCAGCAGAACATTTCATTCCTGGCTGAATATCACCTGTCTTATGGGGACCAGAATTCTGCCAATAGCCTTTAGAAAATACTGAAGAAATATAGCATTGTATTGTCGAAGGCTTTCACGGCCGGCATACGATGGC